GGCATGACTTGGCAAACTGTCTACTTGTAGTCAACTAGTTTTGTCTCTAATGCTGATCCCATCAGATGGAACAGCATTGTCGGTTTTGTTCTTCCGGGACTGTAGTTATTTCCGTGCTCATTTAGCAAAAGTTAATGAGTTCTGCAGCACACACGTACACATAGACAAGTACACTTACATACACATGCACATATGAGCAATGAGCACATTTACTGGCGGTGGAATATCATTTATTTAACTGCTGCGAGCGTTGGCCCAGTTTTTACAAACATGCCATCAACTCGCATCCCGCCATCTCCGCCCATCCACTTCAGGCCACATTTCCCATTGCGCTATTCGCAGATTCTTTGTTGTCGTTCTTGTTTTTGTTTACTGCCGCTGTTGTTTCGTTTTTATTGTTTTTTGTCGCTCTTGCAGTTCATTGATATTCATTTTGTATGTCTCTTGTGCCACGCCCATGCCAGCGACAGCCATATGTTGCCCTTATGCAAGCATTTGCATGGAACTGGTCCTCGTACTCAAAATGTTAACCGTTGTTGTTGTTTTTATTGCCATGGCTTAAAGCTTTGCTTCGTATATTGTTTTTGCTCTTGGCCGCGATCGATTGCTATGCAATTAATTGGAAAATAATAAAACACACTTAATGCGATTTGCCTGAACGTTTGCTGAATTGAAATGAGTTCTGGTGCTTGTTTATTGCACATATTTGTCACTCATTTCAATCGAATAAATTAATGTGAATAACAGAAAGGATTAATCAGTTTTGGGCACTGATGGAAACAGACAAAAAGTATTCCCAATGATATCCAATTGAAAAATGTGGTGCATACTTTCGGGCAGATATTTATTCTTAAAATTCCCAACTGGGAACAGCTGTGGAACGGTGCTTGCATGTGGGAATAGTTTTGGCAATAATATGTGAGCAATCAATTTCCATTTAATATTTTTAAATTAATAAGTATAATATGGTTAGTCAGTTTTCGAGGTATTTAAGTTTATTTCAATTCAAAATGACTTAGAAATTTACGAATTATATTTGCCCCTTAATAATAAAGATTTCAAGGTTTGTAGAAATATTGCAAAATAAGTCGAATTTCAATAGATATTCAATCGATGTATGTATACATTTACAGTACAGCACATATATATTTAAAGATGCATATTTCTTTTTGAAATTTAAATTATTTTATTCCAAAGTTGCAACATTGCCGTTGCAAGCGAGCGCCAAGTTCGGCTTTGGGCACATTTTGTGAAAAGGTCAAGTTACTGCCATCCACACACATATACACACACGCACACATACGAAAGCGGGGATATAGAGGCTCTGTTTCCGGTTATATGCAAATGCGTAAATGTGCCGCATTCCCTTGGCGGCTTTAGTAAGCGATGCGGGCCTTAAAATGCCAAAAACGTCGACGCGGCCAAAATTGGACCAACTGAGTTTTTTTTTTTGTTCTTTTCTTGTGGCCGTTGTTGTAGGCACACAATATGCAAATGGGTTTGCAGACAGAGCGAACGCAGCCTTGTCCAGGCGCTGTGCTTCTGGCCCTTGACATTTTTCGGCAATGACCGCGCCTCCAGCCGCCTCCCTGCCGTTCGTGTCGCCATTCGTCAGCGTTTTAATCGCGTCTGTGCATTTGCTTGGAAAAGTCTAAAATTGAACGCAAGTGATGGCAATTTGTACGCTTCGGCGGTGTCCTTCCAGCTCACCCAGCGCAAAAGGGGCTGAGCATGGACGAGCTGGTAGGTCGTGGCACGGCGTAGAAGGTTGTGCCGAAATTAATATGCGTCGGCTTTGGAGCGGGCAAACTTTTTACCAAGGGATTTACCCTATAGCTCTTTTCGCAGCTTTTTGTTTTTGCCTCCCGCATTTCCAGGCGGCAGCGTCGGCTCGTGATTAATGTGGCAAATGCGCACTTATAAATTATTTATTACTATTGTTCGCATTGTTTTCTGAGGCGTGATGCGCGAATTGGTAAGGCATTTAAGCCATATTTTCAAGTGCCACTGAAACGGGCAGACCAAAAATGGGTGTCAATCCCGCAGTTATATTTTTAATAAATATTTTTATTTAATATTCAGGTCACAAACTAAGTATATACTAATATATGCTTGACATGTAAAAGAACAGTGGAAAATTCGTAGATCTGTTTTGAATGCTTTTAATGAGAAGCAGGAAAAACTACTCTCGGGTTCAGAGAGCACGGAATAATTTATAGAAATATATCAAATAGTTTTGTTCTTCTTTAGGTTTTGTTTAAAGCCGTTGCAAATATAATAAAGGCTACTTAAATATAAACCATATTTCGTCACACACTTCAGGTTAACTTGTGTCGAATGTTTTTTCGACTTATCAATAATTCAATATCACTGCCCACGTGACTCAATGAAACCATTAAGCCAATTAAATGACAAAGACGGACAAATTGCCAATTCATTCCCTTAACCAATCACCAATCCAATCTACATTTCTCTGCTGCCAAGGCCTTGCAGCTGGCTGACAAAATATAAAAAAAAGAGCAGAGAGGCGAAAAAAAAGTTTGGCTTAATTTTTTTATTGGCAAAGTTTTGTATTACGTCCTGCGATTGAAATTTATTTCACATGCACTTTTAAATCGAACAAAAATAGATTCCTTCCGCCGTATTGAAACCGTGCCGGGGCGAATGGCAGCACGGTTGAATGGCCGATTGCCCGAGTATCCAAGTGCTGCCCAAGCTGCTCCCGCTGCCACCCGTCGCCAGCCTGGATGACGTTCCGCTGTAGTATTGGTGGCGAAACCAATTGAAAACTTCATCATGGTTACAACAATATTTTTACAACGAAATTGGCACAAAAATGTTGTCCACGAACTTTTCGCTCAGCGTTAGAAAAACTGCCACAACAACGAATATATACCAAAAAAAAACGAAAACGAAAAAAGTGAACCTGTGAACAAAGTTGTTACCAAAAAAGCCAAAAAAAAAAAGAAGTTCATCAAGTACCACGCCCACCGGCCACAACGCCCACTGTCACGAATGAAACTGAATTGATAACATTTTCAGTTTAGCTGCTTTTTACATTATTTTTTTTGGCAGTTTTTTTTCTTTTTGGCCCTGCGCCGGCCAATTTGTAATCTAAACAACATGGTGGCCCGCTCCACATCCTGTCGCCTGTTAAATATCCAAATCCTGGCGATAAATCGACAGCAACAAAATAGCAAGCGACAAGCGCCACCAATATGTAAAAATGTCGTTTTAATATTAGCACCATAAAGCGCAATCAATGTGCAAAATAAGAACAAAAACGAGTATATACATATATATTTATATATATATATATATAAAATAAACAAAATGGAGTTGGCCCATAAAGAAAAGTGGCAACTGACGACGGCGGCTGACTGCCTGGCTTCAGGTTGCCCAGGACGCCGGATGCGGCAGCTTGTTGATGATAAACTCTTATGACCCACATAGTAAGCAGCCGCAATGGATGTGGCACAGATGTTGGCTGCATCCGCCGGAAGTTTGCCGCAACACTTAGCCTCCCGAATACACACTGACACACACACGAACACATATATAAATACATATTTATCTCGCACACATGACCACAAACACTTTGAAGTTAGTTATAAACGTTTATCGATATTATGGCACAAGAGCCGCCAGCTTGTGTTTGGCGCAGTTTTGTTTGCTTTGCCGCAAAAGTTTTTGGTAGCACCTACACACACCAATGTACACGCACACATCCACACACACACATGCACACCTTTAACTTGTTTGTAGACAATGAAATGCAAACAAATCACGTTGTGAAACTTCAGCAACAGCCCGCGAATAGCGTCGATTTATGGGCACCAAGTGGAAATATTATCACAAGTCGAGAGTAACCGAACAGATTGTCGTGTTGGGGTCTTAGGAGTGGCAAGGAGCCAAGGACGCCACAAAAAAGGCAGAGCTTCGGTTATGGCGTGGCATATTTAGCAGTTAAATTGCATGTTTATCGACTGTTTTCTGGGAATAACAACAAATTATACAAATAGTAGTCGAGCCTGTGAGCATCAAGCGTCTGAGCGTCTGATCGCTGAATGCGAATATATAAAGCTGGAAATGGATTAGAAGGAACATATCCTGCTCAATTTGATCAAAAAATTGTGGCTTCTTTAATTTCAAGAACATGCCGATAACGGATAATCTGATCAGTACATCGGTTTGTCTTCCAATTGAACTTTATGTACAAACACGAAATGAGTTCAGATTTCAATTTAAAATAAAGCGTTTTGTCGACTGCCAAACCGGTTGACTACATGTCAAATGTGCCACGCCCATCGATTTGCCAGCGAAACAAAACTACGCCACACGCTGTCAAAAAATTTGCAATCAAATTTCAAACAAACAACAAAATCAACGTCAGCCGGGCACACGCGAAACATATTCAAAGCCCCAACAGGAAAGCAGCGCTCAGAGCCAAACGGAATGCCGGCATTATAAGAGAAAAGTATAATAAAATATATACATATATTATTTTGGAAATATATTTTCACATCAACACATTATTCAGAGCGCTGCCGTCAAACAATAACACTGCGAAATGCGAAATTTATCACACACATCACTCAAAGAAGTCAGCGTTATAAACAGGAGTCTGGGTAGTGGTGGGTTGGGGAGGGGAGGGGCAGGGCAGTGCTGGAGAGTGGGTGGTTGGGGTGGTGGAGAGTGAGTGGTGGGGCAATCAAATACTTTTGCGGCGCATTGCATGAGGAATGACAATTTATATCCGATTTGTGTGCAAATAGCAACAACAACAAAAAAAAAATCTATATGTGAATGCAATTGAATGCGGGTACTCGTATTCGTATTCGTAGTTGCATTCGTATATGCCATTTGCCCAGGGTAATTGCATTTTTTGCAAATACCGATAACGATTCATACTCCCTATATAACTGTGGTGCAAAAAATAAATAATGGTAAAGGGGGTCTTTTAGGGTTTGGGTTTGAATAACCGTAAAATGGCCACTTACCCGCCAGCACGGAGGTGGAGTTGTGGCGCGGATCATAGGGGCACACCGCCTGACCGTTCTTTGTGGCCTCCAGCGTGTAGTTGCTGTCGTTGATGACGTACGTGTTGCACATGGGCCGGAACGAGTTGGTTCCGCAGACGAACAGGCGACCCGGCGAGGGCACAACCATAATCCGAATATAGTTCTGGCAGGCCTCCTAAAAATGTTAACATAAAGAATGCATGAATTAGTTGTTTCTAGTCTCTTAAAATATTTAAATATAAATAATGCACTAACGAAAAACTAAGGATATCTTCGGCAGACTTCCAAATATTTCACGCCCTTGTAGACATTTCCTTTTTTCAGATGTGTAAGAATTTGGAAGCACGTAAATGCTCGATCTTGGAAAAATGAATATTCGCCATATTTTGCTATATCTACTGTTCGACCGATGGCAACTATATCATAGAGTGGTCCGATTTGGCCGACTTCGACAAACATAAATATACTACCTGCAATAGAAATACCTTAAAACTGAGAGACTAGTTTGCATAGAAACTATATCGACTCGACTATTGATGCCGAACTAGAATATATATACTTTATGGGGTTGGAGACGTCTCCTTCTATGCGTTTCCCATTTGATTTTAATAACCTCGACAAGGGTATAAAATGCTATTAAATGTTGTATATGAAATAGTTGCGAGTAAATGGTAAGAATAATTATTTTTAATAGTTAATTCCCGTTCTATAACTAAAAATTAACAGAAATAAAATCAAATAACAAAGAAAAACTAAAATTTTTAAGTTTATTTTATTTATCAAAGCTATTTGTCATGGCAATAAATTTGCTTAAAATGTTTTCTCGTTATATGGACATACAATTTATAATTTTAATTTTCGATCGAACCTGACAGGCACATTATACAAATAATATATTATTGAACTAAACATGGCTCACTTTAATTTACAATGCCCACAAAACCGAACTCATGTAATTCCCAATTGACTGCAGTCATTTGTTAAGTTTTAAGAGAAAAAGTGCACTTGACAACAAGATGAAAATACGCAGAGAAACTGTTGCGTGACATTCTGTGTGCAATTGCATGCGATGCACAATTTTCAGCTGAAAATGGCAAATGGAAAATGTGAAACGGTCGTGGATATACCAAATGAAGAAGATGCAGCAAGTGCTAGCATATGCATATGTTCATCAAAAACATGTACTTCCGTTTGCCATTTGGCCTGAATACGCACGAAGTCTGCTCTGCACTTTTGGCCTAACGAGGCCCGAACAGATCCTGCCAAAGTGTGTCGTCTGTGTGTGTGTTTGGTATGTTTTGCATAAATGTTTTGCAAATTGAAATATTTAATGCGTAACAAATACACTTAAATGGCAGTAAGCTGGGCCGTTGGGGAACGGTGGGATTGTTTGGGTCTCGCAGAGACTAACTAACTTGCAACTCAATAAATATTAAAAGGCAATGGAAACGTTGTGCGGCGCTTCCATTTGCCATGCACCTTTTCACTGCTGCACAAAATACGCATACGCAGCGTTCGCACAAACGATGGGGGGAATGGAGCAAAAAGCATGCAAAACTTTGGCAAGCTACGGAAAAGTGGCACGCCCCTTTTGCGACACACCGGAAGTGCACTGTACTGTGACATGACAAATCATTTGAATTTTTCCCCCATTGCAAACTCAACAAGCGGACAACATTTTCCATTTGCCTAGTTGCGCTTCCTCCCTTTCTCTCTCTCTATCCGTCTCTTTCTGGCTGTTTCTCTCTCTTTCTGCTAAAATATTTAAACATTTTGTTTGTTTGCCTACTAATTTTCACAATTTTCATAGCTCGTGTCGTTTTGTCAACAAACTGCAGCCCAATGTGCAGCACATTTATTGTCCGCCCGCTTCAGTCCTTGGCACCGCATGCACCGCGTACTCGGCCGCAACATTTGCATTGTCCTGATTGTATCTGCGCCTATCTACAGCCGAACAACTATCCACCATAACATAGTGCTAACCACATTTTCCGTTGGCTTTTAGCCTGGAAAATTGAGGCCAATAATGTGAAGAATTGTGCTGGGAAATGCTAACGGATATTACACCTCGCTGCTAGCTCAAATGGCCCCAAAAATATTTTATAATATTACAATCTCCGGTGCGGTAAAAAAAAAAACTGTTGTAAATTCTAATTAAAAACAATTCCGATTTAAACGAAAATAAAAATTAAAAAAACGTTTTAGCTGCAATTTACTTGTACACATATTTCGAATATTTGCCAAATACTTTAATAAAAATGTAAGCAAAAATTTATATTTTCATTTAAATCAGATAATTCAGAGCTTTACCTTGATATAATTTGATATTGTGTTAAATTTTTTTTTTATATATATTTTAAATACAGCTTCTAAATACATATTCCCTTTCATATGAACGAGTACCCAACTATGCATTTTATTATCTAATTTTGTAAAATTCTCTCAACTAGTTTCATAATTTTTGCTCGCAGCGCCTTGGGAAATTTCAAAATGGTGAAAACGGACAACATATTCCATTTCATTTTGTTTATTGTTTTAAATATTTAAACTGTTTGCTTTGTGGAGTTGTTGTAGCTGCTGCCATGGCTTCTCTTGTTGATGCTGTTGTTGTTGTTGTTGTTGTTGTTGGCTTTGCTTAGTTTGCGGTTTGTTGTTGCCAGGCTGTTAGTTATGTGCTTAGTTGTTATTGTTGTTGCTGCTGCTGTGCAGCATTTGAGCATAAATTTAAATAAATTAACAAAACACATTTTACAACAATTACACAGGCATGCGGCCAGCGTGGCGTGCCGGGTAAGTTGGGTGAGCCGGCTGGGTTGGTGGGCTTTGTCACTTCAACTTTTGTTGTACTTTACATTATTGCCGTTGTAATTAACACGAACATAGACAACGACACCACGCATCCACCACGCATACAAGAGACTGTACTGTATATAAAGAGACTATTTCAATGTCTGCTAAACGAGTTGAATGCAATTAAGCGCACAATTTATTAATTCTCTGTTTTGAAAGTTATGGCTGCCGTTTATTGTTTTTGGCAAACTCTTTTCTTTTTTTATACCCACATATTGTTTAGAGAAGATTAGTTAAACAGCTTTGATATTATGCTTCAAAATCAAACTGTGCACAGATTGTAAAGCATATATAGATAAAAAAAAATCATACTCATATATAACATTCTTAGTTTTTTGTAAATAATATATAAAACATATATTTAACATAGCCACATAGAACTAGGTTAGTCTCTCTGCAGGGTATTCGACAAAGCGAACCAAACAATTTTTATATTTTTCTGGTATTTCGCTTCTAATATGCGCGTAATTTGGCAAAGCTTCGTTTGATTTAATTTATTTTTAAATTCTCGGCACATAAATAATTTCAAATTTATTTAATTTGGCCAGAATATTGCGGCTAAAAGCAAATTATCAAATTGCATGCGAAATCCTTCAACATAGTTGACTGCTTATAAGTTTTTGGTTTGGCGTAAATATTTTAATAATTTGAAGCTTTTTGTGCACAGTTTGCCCGAGGAATATACTGTGAGACTTTCAAGGGAGATTTGTGACATAATCTGGCAGAGAAATCAAATAAAGTAAATTTGACATTAATCACGTTGACAATGCAAAATTTGTTGGCCAGCCTCAAGAGCAGGCAATTTTACAAGCAAACGTTTTCTGAACATTTCACAAATTTGCCATTGCCATACTGCTCAAACGAAGACCATCAATTTCCAGGACATATGTTTACGGTTTTAACCACGTTCGAGCTAGAGTCGAGCTCTGCTCGGTACAGCGCCTGCAGGTAGGCAACAATTCTGTTAATGATACGCAAACACAGAAACACAGACCAAGACGTGCTGGGAGTTGTGGCCAACAAGTTTTCGGTTCGTTGTAGCAAATGAGGCAAATGAGTTGCACAAAACTCAAAGCAAATGCAAACGATTTTCATTTTATAATTTTTACTGAGAAATGAAAAATGAAAGGCAGACTACAACAACAACAACAACAACAACAACAACAACAACAACAACAAGAAAAACAAATGCAGCTGCTTTGGGGCAAACGGATAACAAAATTTTCTAAATATTTGGGCCATTTGAACTGGACGTGAGCAATTGTTCGTGTCCATCTTGTGGCTGCTGCTTGAAAGGTTTTGCTTAATGGCTTTTGGCCAGCTTGTCACATATTTAAATGTCATGAGCGTGCCCATTGTCTGCAATTGAGCACTTGGCAAGTGCGCAAGCAAAGCTGTTTTGTACTGATAAGAAAATGTCTCTATTTCCTGCTGCGACGAGACATTCCAAATTAATAAATATTTCTCTGTAGGTCTCTTGTAGTCCATTACGAAGAAGGCACATTAAATTTGAACATTAATAGGACAATATGTTGATCGTTACGCCTTTTTGCAGTTCTAAGCGCAATTTTTATGGTCGATGAATAAAAAAAGAGTAACTTTATTATTATTCATTTAATATTTAAGCTCTTAAATATTTATTTGGTAATGAGCTGGGACTCTTTTATTTGAACAAGGTTTTGTGAAATGGATTCGAAATACTTTGAGAATTCTTTGGTTGCGAACCATTAACCGATTGACTGAATGCTGAATTGTTTTTGTTGAAGAAGCACAGCATAGCATATGGCTACCATGCTTTTACTCTTTCTCTATTTTCCACTCTCTCTCTCTCTCTCACACCTTTCTGTGTAAAATGCCATTCATTTGTATTGAAGCTCAGCACTGACCGGACAGCTATTGTTCATTTTGAGTGCGGAAGTGCTTTTAATTTATGCACAGGTGGCCAACACTTTCGACATTCACAGCCAACTTCTTCTCCACATCCCCATGCACGTCCACGCCTGAACCTACATCAATACAGACATCATCCTTCTGTCAGGGCATCAGGGATGCGACTCCGAGTAGCCGACCGCAAAAGTACTTTGGCATTTTGGTGTCGCTGCCTGTTTCAATACCTCTATATATCTATGCGTCCATCTATCCAACTATCGCACACTCATTTATCTCACTTGTTGTTGGCAGTTGGTCGGTCGGACCGTGGAATTGTGCGGAATGGGGGGTGTGGCATGCGGTGGTCGCCCATTCAAATGCGTACATCCCCGTACAAATCACTCATTTCATTTTGACATTTTGCTCTGGCATTCGGAATTTCATTAATTCTGCGAAAGTCGTTCAACCAGCTGGCCAAAGCACTACTCCCCTCCCTCCTCTTCCTCTTGCCCTGCTCGACGGCCTCTCCGGCGTTGTTCATCTGTCGACCTCACCACGCCCATTTCCGTGTTGTTTACGTTTGGTTTTTGTCCCTTTTCTGCCCAAGGCTTGACCAAATTTCGCCTGGCATTCAAAATTAATCGTCTGTTTGTCTTTAATTTGTACGAAGCCCGAAAAAGAATAAAACCCTAAGCCGAAACAATAAAGAGAATGGAATTTTCTTTTTCATGCCTCACAAATGTCTTCTTTTTTTATTTTTTTAGTTTTATGATTGATTTTAGTTCTGTGTAGGTAACATAAATAATATAAAATTCTAATTGCAAGGGCGATAGACGGTAAAAGTTAATCTTGAGGCTAAGTAATGGATATTGGTTTCAGTGGAAAATCATAGTGGTCAGTGCTCCTTGACTTGTAACAATCATAGAAGTAACAATATTAAAAGACTTTTTTTATACATGAAGCTAGTTTATCCAAGCATGGCTGATAAAAGTGGAAAAAGGAAAAGGAAGGGCGATTGGAGAACTTAGGCTATATTAAATTTGAGTCAGATCTCATTATCTACTCTGCAGCAATAAATTCTCCTAAACATCTTTTATAGCTCGCTGTCCTGTTCCGTTTATAAATCCAACGCAATCATTTCATAGCCCGTTTGTTTTGTTTAAAGTTTAAAATGGGATCTCATTTAATACTCTGCTCTGATAATTTCTTTAAGGAATCTCGGCTTAAATTATTCCCTTTACGGGGTATATTCATGCTGGCTTTTTTAATTTACAACTCCAGCGCGATCCTTGCATAACCCACATGGAATTTCGTGGGCAAATATTTTGCCGCTTGCAAAGTTTGTCTGCAAATATTTATGCATGAACGGTCGGGCGTTAATATTTGACTTCAACAATTTAATCAAATATTTTAACTTGCTTTTATTAATTAATTCGCACCGTGTGCACACACTCACCCACACCTACTTACATCCACACAGGCCCCTGTAGAGTGGATTGTTATATTCGGCTGACCGCTTTTAATGTTCATTTTGTTGTTGGCATTTTTATTATATTTTTTTATATATGCCATGTTTGTTCCATCATTTTTTCACCCAACTGCATGCAATTGAATGCTCATTTTATCATTCGCACGAGCCCTAAACGGGGCGTGGCCTGGGCAGGCAGGTGGATGCCAGTTGACGAGTCGTTTTTTTTATTTTACTGCTGTTTACGCAGTTTGAATAAAACATTGTGGCAAATAATAAATCAATTAAAAATGTACAAAAATCTTTTGTGCACATGTATGTGTGCTTATCGATGCCGTTATAATCGCGTCAATGTATTTGTGTGTGTGTGTAAAAGTTACCCGTTTTGTTGCCCAATTTTGCCGCATCCGGCATCGCAGTGTCCATAAAATGGCCGCCATTATGACAGAAAGGCAAGCAAAAAGGATAACACGTGGCGGCCATTTTGGGGCGCGTTATTAAATTTTTTGCAGGCCTTGTAAAAAATTCAAAAAAAAACAACAAAAGCGCCCAACAAATTTATCAGCCATGAATTTTTTCCTGTTTGGCACAATTGGCCTTAAAATATGCAGCGCAAATGAGAAAAGTTTTGGCGTTTGTTTGTTTGTGTTTGGCACGGAACAATGCTTAAGCTGATGCGAGCTTAAAGTTTCGATTTGTTTAAAATTTATTTAAATACAAATTTGCAAATTTGAGAGTTAGCCAAAACGCACCACTTTTATTTCTCAAGGTACACTTACTTGATACTCAAATATTTCTCCCATTCGGTTCTGAGGTTTTTTTTATATTTAAGCTACGCAAGCGTATTTAATTGGTGTAGATAAAAGGAATCGCGTGAGTTGTTTGCATTTTTCCACGCCCTAATTGCATTGCAGGCCATAAAGTGTAGCTGGCTTTTAGGCGCACGCCCGTCCGTTTGCGATTATTATCTCTATTAGCGGGCTGCGCACATTAGCGAAATGTCAGCTAATTAAAATTGTAAATTTGAACTTTTCATTAGTGCATATAATATGGAAACTATTGCCATTTAGTTTTGCATTTTTACTCTTTTCTTATTTTTGGCAACGCTGCAGGCAAAGGGCGCAACCTTTGTAAAAATTACGGCCATGCACGCAATTGATACAGACTGCTGGGCGAGGGGCGATGGGAGTAAAGGGGTGGCTGTTAGTCGCATTGCCTCCCCTTTTTGGGTGTTGGAAAAGAAACGAAAGGTTAATTCTTTTCTTTGGCCAACTTGACGCTATAAATAACTAGTTGGGGGCAAGTCAAGTGAAGCAAATTGAGTTCAACAAATTGCACCTGCTTCTAGTTGTTGCGCTTGCAAAGCTGACTGTGTTTGTGTGTGTGTGTGTGTGAGTGTGTGGCTCGCCCCTTTAAGGCAGACCCCTAACAAGTGTTGCTTAATTACGTCAGCGTCAGCAATGCCTGAAGTGCACTTGAGCATGCAACGGTTGGGGGTTGGCGCGTCCTTCATTTCTCCTTGCGGTGTGCGCCATTTTGTTTACTTGACCGGAAACGGAAGGCGCAACAGCAACAGCAGCACAAAAAGTAGTGCAGCAGCTGCGTTTACCAATACCAAATTAAGTTCGAAAATGTTTGCCTTATTTTTTGTACACTAACCGAGTTGACTTTGCTGCTTTTTTATGCTCAGACTCTGACTTTCCTTCCACTCTTCGCCTGCCACACTGCTGCCCGTTTGGCACTTTTCTTAATGGGTCAACTGCGCTGGACCGAAATGCTAACAATAAATTTATTTCGATTTCCCAGCCAGGCCACAAAAACAAAAGAAAAGAAAAGAAGTTGCATTAATCAATTTCCCTACAGCTGCAGCTCTGGCTCACATTTGTAGCGCGCGATAAAACTTGCGGGAGCGGAAAACATTTTATTGCTTTGTTTTCTTTTTGTTTTTTTGTTTTTGCCTTTCCGCAAAGTTGTTGCCACAGCGGAAGCATTGGCGCAAAACAACTTCTGCAACAGCAACTACAACAACTACTAAATTCGCAACCAAAATACAAATTGCAATGAAAATGGAAATTACCATACAGCCAAATGCTATAAAGATGATCAACGTTATTTAGAGCCAGAGAATTGAAGAATATGCCAAATTGTGGTGTGAATTTTATCAAAGATTTAAGCGTTTAGCAGAAGAGAAAATTTAACCCACATTATATTTAATACAAAATATATATATATACATATATATATATATATATATATATATATATATTGATGCATTTTTATCCTCGGCAAGTGTATTGGAGTATTAATTTTATATGAAGCAAAGCAATTATTTAAATACCTAACCCAAGATATAACATTTCTCTTACTGATTAACTATTAGTTATTATATGGTTAACCGTACTTACCTCATCTTTGCCCTTTACGAGACACATTTTGGTATCATCCTCCGGCGACGTCCATACAAGACGTTGCTGTTCCGCGAGATCATGTATGCTTAAATTAAATACGGTATTTCTGGAAAAAAGAAAGAAAATAAGGAATTATAATAGGATATTAACTAAGTCTGCAAGTTAACAGAAAATCAATTATGGCATGTTCAGCAGCCGAAAGTGAAGCAGAGGGGAAACGGGGGACCGGATAAGCTAGCTGGCGATTTTATTAATTAAAATATTAATTAAAATTCATTTGACCTTTGAGCCGCAATCAACACGCTTCGTCCGGGCCACGTTGCTTTGCTTTTGGCTGCTGTAAAAACTCCGTAATGCAAAAATTTATGCAAAAAATTTCAAAATTCCCGTTAATAAAATTTTGCACACACGCGAGTGAGCTTAACGAGCATGTGTGTGTGTATGTGTGTGTGTGTGTGTATGTATGAATGTTTTAAGCCAAAAATATTGCGCAGCGCTGGGGTGTTGGGGCTAGGCAAGTGAGGTAAACAGAAATTTCATAAAATCAACTCATTGATTATTGAAACCACAACTACGTGAGTGCGGCCGTGTGAATGTATATATGTTTGTGTATGTGTGTGTGTGTGTGTGTGTGTGTGCGGGCGTATGTATGCATGTGTGAGTGCACTTTGGCCGAATATTTTATGGCTGCCGTGTCATGGGGCAAACAGAGAATGAGGCAATCGAAGCCAAGCTGAAAACCACCTAGAAAACCGCAGCCACCCATAACCAACCCGCCCCAATGTGGGGCAAAGGCAACCTTATCGAAACTTCCGGCGATTTTGGGTTGAATGTAGCAAAAAGAGCGGAAAATTTAAAATAAATATGTAGTCAACTTTTGCATAGGGTAAGGCAAATTGGCAACAAGGTGGATCTAAGAATTGATGAAGAGAGGGAGGTGCGAAAGGGAAAGGCGGATTGGCGCGGGGAAGGGAACATGGCCAAATGATGCGGTTTAAAGTGAACTTTGCTTTTGCAAAGTTCCGGCAATGTCAAGTAGTTGTCATAATATTAAGATACCCTTTTTGTGCGCTGCATTTACTTTCTTGCTGCAACTTTCAGCTCAAAAAAGCAAAGTATATGCAATTTGCAATAAGCAGGTTATTTTTTTTTTTATTATATGCAGTTAGGTATTTAGTAAAAGGATATAGAGTAAAACATATATAAAGCTAAATATTTGCTGTATTTAAATAAATCAATTTTTTGCTATGAAATGAATGTTCTCTATATATTTATTATAATTATTTTTTTTTTTATAAATGTGCATAGCCAAAGAATTTAATATCTATGAGCATAAATATATTGTATAATATAGCCAATATAGATAAAAATGTGTATGTAAATGAAATAATGTTTGAAGTCAGGGAAAAAAGTTTGTGTATAGAAAGAATGTGATGTATTTTGATTACATTTATTGGAATATTCAGTATATCGTCCACAATTTAATTACAACACGATTTTTAATTTGTATTAGTTTTAACACTAGTTATTTTACTTGTTGAGCGAAGGCTGGACGATAGAAGCATTCTAGTAACAAAATCCTACTCATTATTATATTATTATATATTATAATAGATATAACAAAGAAGTATTGGCTCGCAAGTCTATCAAACTTTCAGATTTTAATTTTTCTTTAATGTTTACTATATTAAAAAAGAGTTTTAACTTCTCCCTTAAATGATTGCTTTTCTGTGCGCTTCTTTATATTTTATTTTTTATTTTCTACTACTTTCAGTCTGTGCTCTCTTTCTAACGGTATACCATATGCACGTATAGTTGCTCATATGTGACAATCTGTGCAACAATGTAAAGGGTTCTGCTGGCGCACTGCCATGCAACGTTATCCAATTACGTCCGAATTGTGGAAACATTTTGTTGCGCGTTCTGTTGCATCCAAGAGCTGCGCATCAGTGTGTGTGTGTGTGTGTATGTGTTTGTGTATGTGTGCTGGTTGATGGCCTGGCCAATGCAAACAGGGCTGGAAAAAAGTGCACATTGTCCACTTTGTTAGGCAGTCGAATAAATGGTCGTGATTGCCGTGAACCCAGCCCAGGCAACAGGCCTGCAGCACAGCCCAACCCAGAGGCAGGGAGACCTGTGCACACACACACACAAACACACACACACACACACACACACACACACAGACTCCGGCAGTGCCATTGTTTGGCAATTATGTAGCGCGTTTTAATTATGACAACAGCAGCAACAGCAGCAACAACAGCAAAAGGCAACACTTCAAACGAAACGAGCGCTGACAACCCTGCGGTTCGCGCAGTTAAGTTGGCTGCAGTTTTGTAGCCTGTTGTTGTCAGCAGCGTATAAATATAAAATGTGCTGAGCGAAATTAGCATATGAGTGGAAGGGGCCATACAGTTGGAAGAGACAGAGAGGGAGATAGAGAGAATGAGCGTGAAAGCGCGGCAGGTGGCAATGATTGCAACAGCGACAGCAACAGCAGCTGCGTTGAGTGCCAAAAAGCGTAAAGTGCAAAAAAAATAACTTGCCTGCGACAGAGTACACACAAGCCCACACACACGCATGCACGCACGTAAACAAACACATAAACACTTTAACGCACTGCTTAACACAGACACACACGTACACGAACACACGGATATGCACTAGCGCCAATGATATTTACGCGCTTACGAAAACGTTGAGGTAAATTGCGATAGCGCAAAGCACAAGCAGCGGTGATAAGGGGAAGAGGGCAAGAGATACAGCGACCGAGACAGAGACTGAGAACATTTTATAGAATGCATTTGGCGTAAAAACCAAGCTCATAAATATTTTCCACACGGTAGCGTGTTAGTGCTAACTGTTGTTGTTGTTTTACTGCCTGCAAGCAGTGCAGTTGGCGTATGCAACGATTACGCAGGATTTTCACTGCTTTGCACATGTTTTGTTGTTGTTGCGCATTTAGCTGCGTTGCTGTTGTTGTTGTTGCTGCTGCTGTTACGCTCAGTTTATTTTTACTTAGCGACTTTAATGCAACGTAATATCAGCACTAACGAGTACATTTAACTGAGCAATCAAAATCTAAGCACTTGAATAACGGCATCGGAAGTGCATTAAAATCAGTTATGGATTAATTATCGGAAATGCTTCATTAAGCAAAATATCTTTGAAAGGGATTTCTTGCGATTGACTTTTTTTAAGGTTAAGTCTTGAATTTTAGCACATTTATATTATTTCATATTTTCTGTGCATTCGTTAACTATTTATAAATCCGTTTTCCTTACATACATATGCATATGTTACACATAAGCACTGATATAAGAGGGAATTTAAATTTGAACACTCGAACCACACTCGACCCATGTTTCATGTGTTTCATGGCAAAAATGTATGTTTGGCAATAAAACTGATTATTTCTAATATTTGAGTATTTTAATGAATTGCAATTTCATCTATTATTTGAGGCGTCCAAAATCTGATCAATTGTTGCATATTCAAAGTTTATACATATTCGTTGTTTTATGCAAATGTTGACAAACAAAAAATTGAATAAATGCACAATTTGGCGGCTATGTTAAATGTGCCGTCGATTGAATTGTGTTCGGAATTTGTTTGGCGATTTATTCATGAGTGCAACGAGCCGCACAAGAGATGCAACCGCGAATCATTTTGAGCCTGACAGCATCCCAAACCGCAGATATTTCAAACTATGGCCGGCCATCAAATGCCTCACTGCATATTTGGTCAATGAATTTGGCTGATTTGCCTAGTTATCATTAGGACACACAACACCCGGTTTAATTTAAGCGTATTTCTATCCCCATTATGTATCCACATATTAAATAAAGATTTCTTTGTTTTTAGTTTGCTACCAAAATGTTTTGAATATGCGTTGCGGTAATTCGAATTACCACCAAATTATTGTATTCAATTTAATTAGTTTATTTTATTTATAATGTAAACTTAAATAAAATAAATTTATATGTGTGCTGTGATATTTCTCGGTCTGTTTTTTAACAAAATTTGTAAAAGTCATCAGACTAAAAGAATTGATATACATTTTTTTTACTTTTTTACATTTTATAGCTTTTTTTTTCATCCAAACATCCCCACACATTTCTGACTGCAGCTGTCGCCTTGACGCGAACCCATTCGCATGATTTCGCCATAATTTTAAAATTATGTGTAACAAGTCGACGTTAACATTCCTTTTTTCTCATTGAAAATGCCATTTTTGCACGTCTTGAATCAGTGAGCTATCAAAAATAAAATAGCGAGAAGGAAACAAATTCTCTGAGGACCCTTTTCAAGTATTTTGAAAAGCAACAAAACAAAGCCACATGCACATAAATAACGGCCTTGTGGTTGACGGGCTTTCAAAGACGTTAAAATTGCAGCAACAACAACAACAAGATGAACCGTTGTAGGAATGACAATGAGAATGTGGCGTTGTCATAAAATAGATTGAAGAAACCTTCCACAGTCGAAACAAAACATAAGAAGGGCATAAAATCATCATCGCCATCGCTGCTGCTGCCGCCATTTTGTGGCTTGACCCACAAAAAGCATCAAATAGACAAAACATGGCCAAAAGCAGCAGCAGCAGCAGCAGCCAATGCTGTGTCAGCCTTCGTTCCCTTTTCATAGCAAGTCTAGACTTCAGTGAAACATGCAAATTGCGCATACGACGCGTTGCTCCAGGGCGAACGGCAATCGAATGAAAAAATATAACAAAACACCCTCACACACACGCACACTAGAGTGACCTTGGCTACGCGAGAATAGACAGCCAGACGAACCCAAAATGTATCCATTGGTTGCCAAGCGACGCATTTTCTCATCATTACCAACGGACTTATCTTTATGCCAAGCTCTCAGCTTGTGTGGACTAAGAACTCTCGCGTGTGGCCAATAAAATGTGATATTTATTACGCAATGCCAGCCAAAATTTAACATAGGCGCACATATTTATTACCCTCGAAGGCGGCTGCTACTGTACACGGCATGTAAATACGATGAATATAAATTATGTATTTTTTTTCTCTCGCTCTGTATCCGATCTGATTAATTTTGATATATAAATACATATATATCAAAATGTATTTT